CTGCTCTCCTTGCCCGTTTAGTACGAGCACAGCTGACAGACAGGTGGGTGGCTGGGCGCCTGCAGTGCAGGCTTGGTCTTGCAGGGCCGGGAGCAGCGGCCCCTCAGGGCTGTCATCCGGAGCCAGACTTGGCCGGGTGTGAACAGACACACACACTGCACAGGTGACTGCCTGCACCACCCGAGCGTGCGTGCATGTGTGCGCACAGGTGTGGCGCATGGTTAGCGTGGTGGTGGGAGGCTAGGGGGTAAGGCCAGTGGGCTCAGCCTCAGCGCTGCATCCAGTTTCCTCAGAAGGTATGTGATTCGCGACCCTGGGAGGAGCGCATTCTGACTAAGTCGTGTGTGAGAAAATGAGAATTGTTTGGGGATAAATTTCTAAACATGCAGATTTTGGATGTGAACACGTGCAATATGGTGTCTGGTCCATGCAGCGTTGCTGAACGTGGATTTAAGTTTCTAAAACGCCCCTGAAACTGAGCGAGACACGGTCTAACCAAAACTGGTCTTTTCTGTGTGACTTACTTGTCGGGTTGGAGGAAACTGGGTTCGAGTCTGAACTTGTGGTGGGGCTTGCTTCCTCTGTGTGTTTCTTTCCAGTGCATTTCAATAAGGGAAAATAGGATTTTAATGAATAGGGAGCATTTCACAACTGACAGATGTTGTTTAAAAGGCACTTTTTTTCTCCACTCACTACTTTAATGCTGTGGTTTTATTAGCAAAAGAATTAGTTGGTTTTAGACCACCACAGTCCTCTTAAGAGGGGCTGGGGCTCCTCCTTGGGTCCAGGTGAGGAGCCCCCCTGGAGGAGGGTGGAGGGTAGGGTGGGTAGGGTGGGTGGGCCCCCCCGGCACTCAGCCGCCTGTCCCCAGGTGTTCCCGGTGACGAGCTCGGGGGCCCCGGTCAGCGAGTACCCCTTCGTGAGGACAGGCCTGCTGGGCTTCGTTGGCCCTGGGGGGCTTGTCTTCGCGGTGGGCAAGATGGACGGGCTGATGGTGGTCAGCGGGCGCAGACACAACGCCGACGACATCGTGGCCACCGCGCTGGCCGTGGAGCCCATGAAGTTCGTCTACCGAGGAAGGTGAGCGCACTTCTCCGCAGACCACACTTTCTAGATAACGCTCATAAATTGCTCTAACGGGACGACCTGTCCTCTTTGACGTGAAGCCACTGGAGTCTATGACTTCTGAGATTCCACGAGGTTCTGAATGTCCAGTTTTACGGAACTTTCCTGAGCCCATAAATATATTTCCAGCAACTTCCCTTCCGAGTAAAATAAGAATATCCGTTTGAGAAACGTACTTTTCGTAAGTAGCTACACAGGAAAGAGCCTAGCATTTCTTGCTGCAG